CGGACACGGCCCCCGCCCTGCTCGCCCCGCGCCACCCGCCCGCTCCCCGCCATGGAGGACCTGGGTGAGTGGGGCCCGGATCCCCGGGTCCCCAGCCCCTCACCGCTGCCTGGATCCCCTTCTCCACCCTCGCACTCCCCGCATCTTCCATCCCTGTCTTCTCTCTCCCGCTTCTCGTCTCTGCCCGCGCCTCCTTTCCGACTCCACGTCCCCCTTCCTGCCTCTCCCTTCCTGTCTTTCCCGGGCCGGCCTCTCCCTCCCTTCTCCCTTCGCTCCGCTCCTTCATCCCCGGCTGCAGCGGATGGCCGGGGAGGTACAGCGCCCTTGGGCGCCTGGGCGCGAGGCCTCTGGGAAGGGAGGGGTTAAAGGGGCCTTGGGTCTGGGGACTGGGAAAGTAGACGGGAGAGGAGAGTGTGACACCAAGTTTTGAAGCAGAAAACGGACCTGCGGAGAGTTTTGGAAGGGAAGAGTTAGGCTCCTAAGTGTGGTGCGGGTCAAGTCCTTGGGGAAAGAAAGAGCATAATAGAGAGGAGAGCCATGAGGGGTTACGGGTTCCACCGTGGTGCTCAGAGATGTAGAGCGAAGGGGCAGGGACTTCTCTGTTCTGGAAGAAAAAGGGTTCAAAGGACCCGGATCTGGGGATGGGAGTCTTGGGGTAGGAAGGAGGACCCAGGTGCCTTGTTCTCACTATTTGCTGAGAACAGGACAGCTGTGCCCTGCACGGGAGAGAAGGGGTTCCGGCACTCTGCAGTAGAGGGTGCTCCTCAGTAGGGGTAACTGGCACGGGCACGGGGGAGAAGAAGCCAATCGGAAAGCAGGTCCGGGCAAACTCGCCAATGAGGAGCAGAGGGTGGGACTCAGGGGGGACTGGAAAAGGGCCAGGCTGGGCGGGGCCTGTGTAGGTAGGGGGAGGAATTAGTGAGTGTGGCAGAGAGAGCATCCAATCAGAAAGCTGGATGCCAGGCGTAAGGCCAACTGAGCAATTTGAAGTGGAGCCAAATTTGACTTGAGAAGGAGCCGATCTTGACTGCATCAGAGAAGACGGGGAGAATAAGAGACTCAGGCGGCTGTGTTTGTGCTCGACTCCCAGAATGAGCCAATCAGCAGGTCCTGGTCATAAATATTCCATTCTACCCGCTCCGCGATCTTGACTGCATCAGAGAAGACGGGGAGAATAAGAGACTCAGGCGGCTGTGTTTGTGCTGGACTCCCAGAATGAGCCAATCAGCAGGTCCTGGTCATAAATATTCCATTCTACCCGCTCCACTTCTCTGTCTTGGTCTGGCCCTGTGTTTCCTTCTGATTCTTGACCTCTCTCTTACTACTGGCTTCTGTCCTTCTCAGATACTGCCCACTTGGAACCCTTCTACTGTGACCTCTTAAGGTCCTGTCTTTGCCCTATCTTGACCCCTCAGTCTCTCACCCTGATGGCCTCTCCCTGCAGATGCCCTGCTCTCTGACCTGGAGACCACCACACACATGCCAAGGTCAGGGGCTCCAAAAGACCATCCCCCAGAGCCAGTCACACCTCCCCCACCCTATGGTCACCAGCCACAGGTGAGATCAGACTGGGGCATCTACTAGGGCCAGGCTTGGCCTGGGCTAGGGGAATCTGAGTCTGAGTGGAGCCAAGTACAGGCCTGTCATCCCACACGTGTGTCTTCTCTCTGTAGACAGGGTCTGGGGAGTCTTCAGGAGCCTCTGGGGACAAAGACCATCTGTACAGGTGAGTGGCCTGGGAACTGGGGGATGAGGAAGCCAACTGAGTCTCGGGTGAAGAGGCTTGGATTCCCTGCCCCTGAACCCAGGCTTCCACCCTGTTTCCCAGTACGGTATGCAAGCCTCGGTCCCCAAAGCCTGCAGCCCCTGGCGCTCCTCCATTCTCCTCTTCAAGTGGTGTCTTGGGCACTGGGCTCTGTGAGCTAGACCGGTTGCTTCAGGAACTTAATGCCACCCAGTTCAACATCACAGGTATCAGGGTTACTGAGACAGGACCTTATGGAGGGCGGCAGGGCAGTGAAGGGAACAGATTAAGGGGCATAGACTTCCCAGTGTAGAAGTCAAAGGGACACAAATTAATTGGGAGGGTGGGTTGAGCAAGTGCCCATGTCTGGTGCCCTTCTCTCCTCTCTCCAGATGAAATAATGTCTCAGTTCCCATCTAGCAAGGTGGCTTCAGGAGAACAGAAGGAGGATCAATCTGAAGACAAGAA